CAAGATTTTCATTGACTCATTTTATGTGCGAATACTTCTCGCACCTTACCCTGTGATCCAAGAAATCCTCACTCAGTAGTGGGAAGTCTCGCTTATAATCTGCTAGTAGGAGCCTGCTTAAGTATGAAATAAGAGTGGTAATGGCAATGAATTTCGAACTTTCTGAATTTAAATGTTTCATCCTCCCGTTCCATGAATTTTTTTAGAAGAAAAGCAGGTGAGGAAGTTAAGGGCCACAAGAGTAAAGTAAAATCGAGAAGATGAGGTCGAAAGGAGGTATTGGAGGCCGTCCAGAAGGGGTGGTTTTCCTCAACCTTATAAAGTATGGCAGCTACTATCATTATTTGGACTTTTCGCTAAAGGAACGTCTCGCGATCAAAAATGATGGGTCGTGGGGCTCAAATACTAGTGACAAAATAGTAGGCAACTAAATAGTGAGGAAAAAGGAGAAATAAACCGTCGGAAGTGTCCTAGCTTCTACCCAAGCCAAAGCGATCCTATGCAAGCACAAGGCGAGGAAGGGGGCGCGCTTACTTATTGCACGTAATCTCACTTGTTTGTATCATAATGATATCATTTTCCCTTATCAATTCACTCTCACCAGCTAGTAGCGGAACAGCTGCACCATCAGGAACTTTTTGGAAATGGACTTTGGGTGTTGTGAAGGCGCATCGCTGTCTTTGTCAGGATCGGATGGGTCACATATTTTCGAGCCACCAAGGTATAATACATCCTTTTGAAGGACAGGACTACCTTGGTCGGGGCTTCTGCACACCGAATGAAAGGGGAACATGACTTTGTGCACGTGGCTGATTTTGCTACATGATGGAAAGCTGTTGTATTTGGCTATTAGCTGACTGTGCTGCCAAGTTTTTTGCGAGTCCCTTACCCGCTTCACCTGAAACTAGGGCCCTGATGCCAGAAAAGTACGACCAGCTGGTAGAAAAGTACAACCAACTGGTGCGCTAATTTTATCAGTAGCTTGCTGTTGACTATTGGTTGCTTGTGCTTGTTTGCCTCACACATTGATTGAAATTTCATCCACATGGCTGCAGATGTCTTGATGGCAATGAGTCCACTCGATTAAGTTTGGGACCCAGTGTTTTCGAGTAAGTTCATGCTCGACGTCTTCGGGTCGACTACTTCGTAGCAGTCCTGTTTGGGAAGCTCAATAATCTTGTTCGCTATGGATGAAGGGGCGTGTCAGGCGGGATTAGTTTGGCCCAGCGCCATACTTATCCCGCCTGACACGCCCCTTCATCTGCAGCGATCGAGACTGTACATTGTTGAATGACAAGCTGATATTCGCGAGGTTCCGCCAAGGATGCCATCTTCCTGTCGAAGAAGAACTATTGGGGAAAAAACCATTGGCTTTCTTCAAAATTCGAACAAATAAGAAATATAGAGGGGGAAATGAGAGATGTGTGAGCTTCTTTTTCGCTCCCTTGAGCCAAGCAAAACACCTTTATGACTTTGAATCAAAGGGAATGCCGGCGATCTATCTTGTCTAGAAATTGCATAGGTCTTACGGACCTCTGCAGTTTATTTATCATTTATCTCATTTATAACTGAACTTGGAACTTTTAGGTGCTTGTCGGTGTGAATAGCGAATTTGTATCTATCATAGATGTCAATCGCCAGGATCTGGTACTAGTGCAGAGAATACGCGACTGCACGTGGAGAAAACTTATATAGTATGTTGTAATTCTATTGATGTAATGTAGTATGATTATAATTCTAGGCGCAGTTTCTGTAGAGAGGGAGGAACTTTTTTATGAATTCTACCAGAGGGCAAACTACAGATATATAGGTCACGAAATGACGCCAGTTCTCCACCTAAACCCTCCGAGTTCTTACCCTCCAAGGTCTCATGGAGCAACTAGCAATCCAAAAGAGAGGAAGAAGAACCCAGTTTTGCTAGAAGCTTCTGTTCTCTATAACTAGCTCTTTGCAATTCAAGCTGGCGTTCAGACTTTTCTAGGATGGAAGCCCAGTGCGTGATGCGACAAATAGCGCCTAATTCTAGTTTCACTGGCAGACTTCACACGTAACGATTTTCAGTTCTCCAGAAGAAATCAAGAAGGGTCATCAACATCTCCTGTTTCTTTCATTCCCTGATGACGACTACATCAAGTCACGCAACGATTTTCTCGTAGGAAAAGCGGAAAATTTGACGACCATGAAGATGAATATCCTCCATGTACGTTCACCAAGTACTATCACAAAAATTTTTTTCGTACAAAAATGTCTAACGCATTGAACGAGACGGCGCGGTATTGCAAAATAGCTAGCTCATACGCGTACAATCCTCTATCCCGTGGACCAGAGTAGGCGTGGCATTTGAACATGGCATGGAATTAGTTACTCGTGCAATATTCCAGTCTGGAACAACAGTCATCTTATTCTGTGTTAGGACAGAGACACGACAACAGTTGTGTCAAGATGAAAATATTCCACTAGAAGCATAGACACCTTCAGGTTTAAGTTGAAAAATGCACCACGCCTACCCGATCTCTGGGATTTCGAGTAAGTGTGCGCTACGTTGCGCCGCGCCTGCTTGCACACCTTCCACTACATTATCCACAGTATCACTTCAGGCTTGTCATTGTGTAGAGTATTTTTCAGATTTTTTCGAGTCAGACAATTCTCCTGAATGCGATGCTCAACTCTGTCAAATCGAATCTTGGGGAAGAAGACGAGCTCACTGATGAGGTGTGTTGTTGGGCTGGGTTTTATTTCGCAAAAGAGAGGAGTTAGCCATTTTCTTCTTGGAAACTCCTTCGTTGGTCGGTTGAATCGTTCTAGAAGACATCTCCGATCAAGTCATACGTAGAATTCCTCTAGGCATTGAGTAGCAAGGTTCGCAGTGGCAGACTGTGTACCACTCTCGTCACTAGAAAGTGCGAGAGAAAAGCAACAGAAACGCATGACTCAACCATTCGGATTTGAGCAGACTATTACTGCGAACACGGCATAGACTGTTATGGATAATGACCGAGCTTTTGTTCCCACCAGGAAAGGTCAGCCCGGCCATTTCCAATGAGCTGCACACCGTTGTACGCGTCTTGGGACGGTGAACTCAAATCTACCTTCAGAATTTGCGGAACGATTCTCTGAACGGAGTTATGGGGGTTTTATCCCCGCGTGTGGCTTGTTTCACATGCTATCGCGAGGAAACGTGGAAGCGTCTTTACATTTATGTATGGAGTCATTCTGAAACGTGGTAGTAGAGCGCAACGGGTAGGAGCGGGTTTCTTAGGCGAGACGTCGTAGGATCGGTTCCCAGGGTCGCTTTTTTGCATTTGTCCAAGAACATAGCCGACAAAGCTTCTAACATCTCTGCTCGCCTGCACTACCTGTAAGGGAACCTGCGACCAGTTTTT